CGGGTCTCCCTGTGCGGCTTTGCTCGGGTCTCCCTGCTGTGCTGGGGAGTCCCCCCCAGCACATCAGGGAGACCTGGAGCAGCTTTTCTCGCCCCAGAGGACGCGGTGGCGGGACCGCTGCGCTCTGGGCGGTCCCGCCGCCCGCGAGCTCCGGGGCGAGAAAAGTCCCGTTCGTAAGTGCGGATCCGACATAAGTCGGGGACTGCCTGTACTTTGATCCTTTTGCTGATAGCTCTTTCTTGGCTTTGACTGCCTAGTACAGGGGTGGGAAACCTGCAGCTTCTGGGTCAGATGCAGTTCGTCAGTTAGCTTTGGCAGGTCACCAAATGCCTGAGCACCCACGGCCATGCTTGCAGCTCCCGTTGGCTGCAGTTCACCATTCCCAGCCAATGGGAGACAGTGTGGTCTAGTCCACTGCTTTGCACAGCTCCCTTTGTTTGGGCATGACAAATAGCAGCCAGCGGGAGCAGCCGTGCCTGCATCTGGCGGCCCATCAAGCTTAAACCTAATGAACCACTTCCAGCTAGTGTAACCGCCGCCAGGTGGATTTGAACCTGGGACCTCTGGAGATTAGCATAGGCGCCTCTAGCATTTGAGCTAAAAGCCAGCTGGCTGATTCTCAGCCCATGCTATAGAGGGCTCTTGATCTTATCTGTTGCTGTGGTCTAAGTGCCACTGCATGGGACAGTGAACCACACTAGGTGTGTGGGTTACACTAGCATGCCAGAAGTTTCCCATCCTTGGCCTAATGCTTTTCACCAAAAATGCTGTAGTTTCATGGAAACCTGTGTGGTACTTCCTTGTAAATAGAATGAAGCAGCCACACCTGAAGGGGATTTTTCTATCCAGAAAACCTACATTGCACGCTACACCAGGAGTGGGAATGATCTGGTCTGCATGCTGGATCAGGCTCGCCACACTTTTTTTAATCTGGCCCGTGGCTTGTCATTGTGGCAGAAAGCGGCACTACTCAAAGCAGCTAGCGTCTCCCTGTGAATCTCTGTGCGCTACCCTGCCCCTCCCCCAATATAAATAGCCGATAGGAGCTGAGAGTTTTTGCTGGGAGTGGGGGCAGTGCATGAAGCCTCCTTCTCAGACGGCCACATGGAACAGAGTGGTCTGAGGCTGCTGGAAGGCTTGGGAAACCTGCTGCGAATGCAGCTGGCTGGGAGCTGCTTAGGTAAGCGCCTCTTGGCCAGAGCCTGCCTCTGGCACCCCACCCCCTTCAACATCTCAACTCCCTCTCAGACCCAGCACTCTCTCCTATATCCTTCCCCCAGTCCAGAATCCTCTCCTGCACCCATATCCCCTTCCAGACCCTGCACCCCAAGACCCTGTCCCAAATCACAACTCTCTCCTTCATCCAAATTCCCTCTTGGCCCCCACGCCCACTCCTGCACCCCAGTCTCCTACCCTGAGCTCCCTTCTGCACCCAACCTCCATCCTGCACCCCCTCCGTAGAAAAGTGTTGCCCTTGACCACTTACCAAAACCGTGGTATGGCCCCCCCACATCAAAAATTATTGCCCAGCCCTACACTACACAGAGGGCATGATGATGGCCAAGCTTTTAGCCCACAAACTGACCCATCATATTTGTTCTCTAGCCTAATTTTGTACCCTGATTTAAATAACAGCAGATTTATTTTACATGCTTTTTTCCTAATGGTCTTTAAAGTAGAAAACATAATGTTTTTGGAGACTACTAGTTGTATATATTTAAGGGTTTTTTTTGTTTTAATTTGCCTGACTGGAAAATGATGGTATAGTAAGAGTTAACAGAAGACCTTCATAGGAATTTGCCTATGAGGTAAGGAGTTATCAAAATATGTACTGTAGATGGTTGATTTGACAAAATATTCCACCTTCTAGATATGCCTGTTAAAGCTGCAGATGTTCAACACTTCAGAATAGAGTCCCATGTTCGGACACCAACAATTGTAAAATCAGGCCAATAAATGCAATTGTTTGCATCTGTAAACTTTGTTTTTACTGGTATTTGAAAGAAACGGTCATCAAGAATTTCAGCTTAACTGTTAAACTACACGAGAGTAACTTAAATGTTTCCAAAGTCATGCATTCAGCCTCTTAAATGAGACATGATTTTGTCTTTCCTTTGTTCATTCCTTTTTCTAAATATAATCTTTATTTTACTCTGACTTTTTTTTTTTTGGCTAGATGTAGAATGTTTACTTGTGCTATTCAGTTGCAAATATCTTTTTGAAAAAATACTTTAACTGCATTCCAAGGACTTACTTGAGAACAAGCTATTGGCTGAAAGCTTAAATCATTCTGTGTTAGCCTGTGAGACTTCTAACTGTAGTAGTGAGATAGCAGGCAGTTGCGTATATTAGTTGACCTTTGAATACCCTAGCCGGAAGTGAAAAGGTTCTGGCTGGTCAGCTGTACAAGATCTGGGTGCATGCAGTCAAACTCAAGATGGATGCCAAAATTGGTTAGTTCTTTTTTGTTGTAATATATTACATGAATTTAAAACTCTCTTGTGAATCCTGAGGCTTTTAATTTGTGCAAAAGACAAAAACAGTTTCTTGTGGCTCATTTATTTCTTGAGAGGATTTTCATGTCAACTTTATAGGCACTTGTTTTTGTCACAGAACAGTTATTGGCACTCTTCAGCCTTAAAAATTAGATTCTGTGATTGCAGAATTCTCTGAAGTCTTTTCTATCAGTTTCTTATCACGGCATTTGCTTTAAAGGCAAAATGTAATTGGATGAGTTCTGCATGTGAGGCACCCATGCTAGCAGTACTATTTTTAGATGTGGCAGATGACAATTCATAATTACCATATGTAGGCAGCTGCACTTGCTTTAGATTAGGCCTGGAATACTTGCATTGAAGGGCTGTAATTGTAGTTTACACAAGTGTAAATTTAGGAAAACACAATTAACATAAGGAAGAACAGAGTTTGGTGTGTCCCTGAATATGTTTACCTTTTGTGTTTAAAGCCAGCAGACTGTTTCAACTAATACACTGCTTGGATTTTCTAAATTGCCTTCTGTTGGAGGTGTGAGGGAATTAAAAGCAGCTTTTACTATGTGTCATATGGACTAAAAGTTACAATTCAATGTTGTAACTGTTTTACAACATGAAATAAAAAAATATTTACACTATTGGAAAATTAAACAGTATACACTGGGACGGGGATTGGGGTTTATATGCTACTTCTCATTTTGAAAGGTACAGGGCAGAGTATATATGGGAGAAATGCAAATATAATTCCAGGTCCAAATGAAGGAAGGGAATAGATTGAGGTCATTCAGTCATTAGTGAACAAAGTATTTGAAGACACACCAGTTTTTCTGAAGACACTAGACAAATGGATCTACATGGACTACACCAATTTTAGACTCTCCCTTTCCAGTGAATGTTATTGGAGATTTTCATGACTGTTGAATTATAACAAGTATAAAGACAGTAACTTAACTGTGCAGCTGTAGTCCTTTACACACTATTAATGCTGATCTTAAAATAATAAAAATCACGACAATGAAGTAATTGGCCATAAATTATGAAAGCTGTCCCTTTTTTGATATTTCACAGCATAGAGTTTCTTAGCAACACCAGGTGAACAATTCAGATCTTGTATTGAAATGATTTCATGGTGTGAAAAGGAAGGCATTGGTTCCAACAATTAAAGCTTATCAATTTCAGTCAGAATATACACATCTCCCAATGTTGTTTTAACTGCTTATTTTGTAGGGATTTGTTCCAGTTTGTAGTTGTTTTGTAATTTATAATAAAATTATTAAGGTAGTCAAGATACTGCTGGAGTTCTAAGCTCACATAACATTTAACATAACCAAATTCAGCCAGATAAACAGATGTCCCAGTGGTTGGGGAATAGATAATAAATATAGTAGTGCTTAATATTTTGAGAAGATTATATTTATAAATGGCTAACTAACTAATACGATTTATAATGCTAATAAAGTTTTTTTTCTTTTGTCCTTTTATATTGAGATCTGTGTCTAATAATGTACATTTATCAGTATTGATGGAGAGAGATGATGTGGGAAATAACTTTGTTTTTCAAAAGAAATCAGCTGTTAAATAATTTAATTCAGAAATCACCCATGATGGTTCCCGTCACATAGCATAGATAAGTATATAAAACCCAGTTAGATCAGATACTCTTGGTTGGTACAATGGATGTTCTTGCTAAATCTCTGATATGTCACTTAAAAATGTAGCAAACTGAAACCCGGAAAGATGAAACTTCATATTTTAAGCCAATGACTATAGACTTACCCAGACAGCAATTAGTCTGAACAGTAATACTAAAAATGGCATCATATATTTCCGTGGTGATACTGAAAAAATATGCCTACAAATTTAGCTTTTACTAGAAATCATACTGGGTTTTCTCGAGGACCCTTTCAGCCCTACACGTCCATTGTTCCTAACTCAGCATCAACATCATCAGTGGAAAAAGTTATGCCAACCCAATTTTTCCTTCAGTTACATTTGTGTAACCAACCCCATTGACTTAGTGCTGCTCTCAGTGATATCTGTGCCCTTGCCTTCATTGTGTTTACACAAGTTTAGTGGTTTTGAATTCAGTCAACAATTCTGTTGATTAGCCCCAAGAAAAAGCAGAATCTCTTGTTTAGCTATGTTGGGTGCACAGAGCTACCAGAATCAAGAACAGTAAAAACTTGTCACTGAAATAAGCAAATATGACTTAAAATACTCATGAAAAACAGATTACATCAAGATGAGATTTTCATGACTATTTACACAAAATAGTCTCTTTTGAGGGCAAAGCAGCACTTTAATTTTAGCAAATATCCAGAGTTCAGTGTAAAACCGGTTTTGACTTTTTCCAGAATGCTTATGGTTTATAAGCATATAAGCAAGTCTAATAATGTAGAAATATGTGATACTAGGTTCAATTATTTAAGATTTAATGTTCAGATAAAATGTATACTTGTATGGCTGTAAGACTGCTTGTATTCTGATTTCATACCTTTTGACTTTTAGTTGTTGATCTCCTTTACTGGCGAGACATTAAGAAAACAGGAGTGGTGTTTGGTGCCAGCTTGTTCCTGCTGCTTTCGTTAACAGTATTCAGCATTGTGAGTGTGACAGCTTACATTGCCTTGGCCCTTCTTTCTGTGACGATCAGCTTCAGGATATACAAAGGAGTTATCCAGGCAATCCAGAAGTCTGATGAAGGCCACCCGTTTAGGTGAGGTTTTTCTTTAATACCAAGTACGTGGTTGGTTTTGGGTTTTTTTAAGGGGGGGGGGGGGAGAAGGGGTTGAATAGTACTATAAGTGCAGCTAATTGCATTGGAAATATATATAAATTATACCGTTGCATGGCAATGTAAACTGCCTCAATACTGTACAATCCGTCCCTCTCAACTACAGCTACTCTCAAATAGGGATGTTAGCGACTAGTTGCTTCTCCCCACCCCATTTGCCTCTATCAAAGAGAGGCAGCAAGTGGGGTGGAGCAGGAGCTGGTGCTGGGGGGGAGCCTGTATCCATGGGGGGGTCAGGATACATGGAGGCACAGCGGGAAACGGCATGAGCGGGGAGACTGAAGCAGTCTCCACTCATGCCGGTTTTGCTGCAGTTCTGCTTTTGAAATGTACAAGAGCCCCAGATGGGGCTCTTGTACATGTCAAAGGCTCAGGGAGCATGGGGGTCAGTCCCCTGCTGGCTCCACACTCCCTGTGGGGCTTCTGCTTTTGAACTGCTATAGTTCAAAGATAAGGAGGCGTCCTTATCGAATAGTTGATGGAAATCCGATCGGCTATTTGATTAGCTAATTAATCTAAATGTAACATCCCTATTCTCAAGTGTTATTGTGATTTTTCACAAAAGAATTTCATAGAATGGACACAAGAAATGGTAAGGAAAATGTTTCTGGCATAGTGTATTTCTTCAAAAAGGCAAGAGACTCCACAAACGTCATAAAACTTGTATATAGTTACTTCAGTTTGGTTAATTGAACTTATACATTAGTACTCTATTCAGCACTTCAAACATGCCCTGACATCAAGTACTAAATCATTTTGAAAATATCATTCCTGGGTACCTGTAGAGCTGCTTGAGGGTTGGCAAAGAGTAGTAAATGCAGCAGGAGGCATGTTTTGTTGCTAATTATTCACATTTTGGTATATAGCTTTTTGAAATCCTAGCGTAATAACCTGCTTAACTCTTGTGCAGCAATGCAGCTACATACTAAATAAATCCATTTTGTTGGATTATAAACAATTTGTTAAATGCAATGACCAGGTACATTATGACATAATCAGTAAATAAATCTGAAAAAACTTGGACTCTAATGGGGAAAACTGTAAATAATTAGGGTCAATTTTGAAGACATGGATGACTGAGTTCATTAAAATCCGCAAAGAGAACAGATGATTAACTGGATAAATAATAACTATGCCCACTCCAAAGGATATGGAGTAGACATAGCACATATTCTGTATAAAGTCGGGCAGCTTTGTTATTAGAATAGGTTCACATAGGCCACAGTAGTGCACCCATGTAGAATTATGTCTTTAGAGATCTAGATGCCACATTAATGCATTAAATAATAATTAAGAACACATTTCCTAATCTCACAACCAGCCACCCCATCTAGCAACTGCTTTCACCCTTTCCCTTCCAAAATACGGTTGTCTCCTTTTCTCCTCTTTTGCTTTCTCAGTTTACTTTCTTCTGCTGCATTTTTGTACTGTTGCCAGATAACACTGGTAAAGGTAGTTTTTAAACTTCTCCTCCAGGGGGACAGATGCAGACTTGTGGTGGAAGACACTTTTGAGTGTGTATAGACTATATCCCTCTTTTGTCAGAGGGATGTAAATTAGGCACTTCGAAATTGCAAATGAAGCCAGAATTTGAATTTCCACGCTTCATTTGCATAATCACGTCTTGGCGCTCTTTCGAAAGTAAAACCACAGTCTAGACGCAGTTCTTTCGAAAAGGGAAGGCTTTATGCAAATGAAGCATGGAAATTCAAATCCTGGCTTCATTTGCAATTTCTAAGTGTCTAATTTACATCCCTCTGTCGAAAGAGGGATGTAGTCTAGACACACTCTTAGGGTCCATTCTCCCTCCCTCCCTCCCTCCCTCCCTTCCATTCCATTCATGCAAAGCTTCAGCAGCTCTAATTTAGAATCGCCTCATCTGCACTCAGTAAATGCTTATAGAGGTGATCAGTCCAGCCCATAAAAGCCAACACCTGCCTGCAATATGCTGGCTCTTTAAATTGGGGTGGATGAATACTAAGAAGGGGAAGGGCGATTGCTGAGACACTGGCAGGAGAGCCGGGACAACCCCTTGCCTGCCCCGGACCCTATCTCTCCTACTCCAGGTCCCCTCCCCTGGTCTGCCCTCCCCCACCTTTTCTCCACCCCTGCTCTGCCTCCGCCCTGCCTCTTCCCACAAGTCCTGTCTCCTGAGTGATGCAGCCTATGTGGGTTAGAAGAGGTTGGGGTTCCCCTGCACTCACTGGCAGCACTCACTGTTCAGCTCCAGTCCGCTCCCTGGCAGGAAGTGGAACAAAGCAGGCAGGAACAGGGGGAGCTAAGTAGACTAAAGCTGTGTCCCTCCGCTTCTCTTTCTCCTCCCAGCCCCCCTGCTGCCAGTGAGTGTGAGGAGTCCTGACCCCCTGCTGCAGGTGCCAGGCCCCCCACTAGTCCCCTGGGCTGCCCATAGGCTCTGGCTGCTGACCTTTTGTCCCTCCCACTCCCGGTGTTGAGGTGGGTGAATGCTCCCTTGTGGCCCTCCCCGCACATATCACCCCTAAAAAAGGGGCAGTGTTTCAGTGCACACATATTGGGGAAAAATGCATCTGTGGCTATACACATTAAAGCATAGACCCGCAGTTTTGACAGCATTCAGTAGCACAAAATGCAAAGTAGGGTGCTGACCAGCCTTAAAGTAGCTAGTTTAAAAGGGAAAGCCTGTAATTTAAGGAACAGTCTGCTGACAAGTGGAATCTCTGATTGCAGTTTCTCTGTTACTGGTTTTCAGTAAGTACAAACTGATTTCCATTAAGTGCTTAGTAAAATCCTCACCATTTCTAAGATATAACCATTTCTTTCTGTTCATAGAGTGGATATTCTCATTCATGCTCTCCTTTCTTCTTCACTACAGATTGCTTCTCCCAGGCCTCTCCTCTTGCCCACAATCCATACAAAATGCGTCCACTAAGGCCTTGTTTCTGAGCTATTGATCATGTCATATACCCCACTAAGGGTTTGCATGACTTGGCACCTCCTTCTTATTCAAGGTTGTCTCTTGCTAGGGCTCAGCTCTGCCAGAATTAGCAGCTTTGATGCCCTGTTAGTCCAGTACTACTCTCCCCCATGGCCCCTTCCCCCTGCATGCCTCATTATTTTGGAATACCCTTTTGAGTTGGGTCTCTATGGCCTTTACCATCTCCTCTTTCAGATCCCTTGTTAAGGCCTACTTCTACTACAATGCCTACCAGCAATGAATAACATACGTATCTTTTGTTATTCTAACTTGCTGTGAGCTGGCTTCGTTTATAATGTCCCCACTTTCCACTCCCAATCCATCCCAACTGTTTGGTCGTCCCTCTTTATTGTAGTATGCCTGAACTTAGATTGCAACTTCCTCAGGATAGGGAATCTCTCCCCTTTCGTCTGTGATTTTGTGGGACCCTTAGAATGCTCTTCGGAAATTGTAAAACAATGAGTTACCTGTAAAAGGTATCAATACACAATAACAACACAACTGTCTAAAACTATAAAACGTATCTCATAATTCTAAGTGTCTGTTAAATAAAATTGGTGCCTTAATGTGTAGCTATAGAGTAGAGCTAATTTGCCAGTCATGTAGCAGTGTAGAATTGGTGCCCTGTTACAGATAAGCAACATCTCCCCTCTCTGAGCCCTTAGTGGACATGAAACTAATTTTAATATGATCATTTTTTATTTAAAGAATCTAATGCTGACCTGGCAGCTCTGCTTGGTAGTAGATGGAAAGGTGGGATATGGAATACGGGCTGCGTGTGTTAAAGTAAAGTGTTCTCATACAGACTAGAGGATTTTTATCTTTCTGGTGGAAAATTCGTAGATCTTCTGGCTAAATCTTTAGACATTAATCAAAGAGAGGGTGGGTGATTGAAGGGCAGCGTGGCAGGAGTTTGGCTTGTTGCCAGTGGCAGCCTGTCAATACAGGCAAACTAGGCGGTCACCTAGGGTGCCAAGATAAAGGGATGTTGAGGGCTTTGGAGGCGGGGGCACCGATCGCGCATTTTGCCTAGGGTGCCAGTTGCTGGCAGCTCGTCTAGGGCCGCTCCTGCCTGTTGCATATTGCAAACCTTAACCTACCACTTATGCCAGTGTAACTTATGGTGCTCAGGGGAGTTGTTTTCCACACCCCTGAGTGGTATAAGTAATAGTGTAGACATAGCCTCAGAAGTACTAGGAATCTAAAGTTTGGTTTAGCTTTGCTGGAAGACCTTCCCAGAATCTCAGCAAAGTGGATTATGAGCTCTAGCATTGTACTGAAGTGAGGGAAGTGTTGAATGTTTGGAGAGCTATGTTAATTAGTCATAGCCATGAAACAGTGGTGTTAAGCTTTTCATTTTAAACTGTTTGACTAAGACTATGGCTATAGCGGTAATTAAGCAATACAGTTTTTGTAGTTGTTAAAATGCGGTTAATTAACTAGTCGATGGAATTTCCACCAAGGGGCTCTTGTACATTTCAAAGGAAGAATGCGAAACTCCGCACATAGCCCGGGGCCAGTGGGAAGTCCCTCTGACTCCAGGCTGCATGTGGGTGCCTGCTTTGAAATGCACAAGAGTCCCCAGCAGGCTCCATGCTATGGGCTCCTCTGCCCCTTAGAGGAGGCCATTTCAAAGGGGCAGCGGTCACACAGCTCATCAGCTGTGCAGCCACTGTCCTTTTGAAACTTCCACCTCCTCATAATTCAAAGGGGCTGCAGGGGAGCCCAGGCTCAGCAGACTCCGGGCTCCCTGCAGCATTTCTTCAGGACCTGACATCAGCTGGCGAGTCCCCATCTGACCCTGGGTTCCAGGGAAATGCTACAGGGAGCCTGGAATCAGCTAGGGACCGGGCTCCAGTGCTGCCCCTTTGAATCCCCGCAGAGGCGGTGTTTTAAAGGGGCAGCCCTCTGCACAGCTGATCCCAGGATCAGTTGTGCAGCAGCCACCTTAGGGTTTCCAAGTGCCACTTTGAAGATCAGCTGGCGAGTCCCCATCTGACCCTGGGTTCCAGGGAAATGCTACAGGGAGCCTGGAATCAGCTAGGGACCGGGCTCCAGTGCTGCCCCTTTGAATCCCCGCAGAGGCGGTGTTTTAAAGGGGCAGCCCTCTGCACAGCTGATCCCAGGATCAGTTGTGCAGCAGCCACCTTAGGGTTTCCAAGTGCCACTTTGAAG